CAGTCCCAATCTAAAGGGGAAGGCCAAAAATAGGGAGAACTTTCTAGAACCCAGCTCTTATACAGGATCCCAGAGAGAACATGGGCATCTGAGTTGGGGGGGGGGGGGGGGGGGGGGGGGAGGAAGCAGCCTAGAAGGGATAGAAGGAACAGAACAAAGCGGGGACCCACCCACCCAGGTGTCTCACCCACCTGCCTAAACTGTCAGCACCAATAGGTCTCTCCCCCTCAGTAGTAACTCGGATGAAATAACTCCCAGGGGACGCATCACTGAGTTGGAAGAGCCGTGAGCAGATGGCCAGCACAGAACAGATTAGTAAGAAGCCAGGGCACACAGGGTTTAAAAAAAAAAAAAAATCCCTCGTTTGCCATTAGATGAAAATGCTACGTTCCTTGCCAGAAATAGTCTTGGTTTTGGAGTTCGTTCAGGACCCTCCATTTAAGCTGGAATTCTTTTCCAAGTACCTCGCTAGCTACTAGTTGCGCTCGTGAACATGAACATTGGCATTTCATGTGAATCTGGAACACAGTTTTCAGCTACATGGCTCCCAAGCAGCAGCTTTGCCTCGCACCTTGGGCTGGGTGGGAGCAGACACGGGTGCCAGCTTATCTGCTCACACCCTCCCCACGCACCGACGTGTGGAGATCTTGGTTGTCAATCCAGCGTTTAAAAGGAGAGATGACAGGAGACAGAGCTGTTAAATGCACATGAATGAGGACCATTTATAACGAAGGGGGCAAACCCTGGGATGGGGCTCACCGGCGATGCCAGGCAGCAGTCTGGAGCCCGGGGTGGGCTTGGGCGGCAGGCCGACTTGGCGCCCAGGCCGGCCCGGCCCGTCGCTAGCTGTGTGGTCTGCCTTGGATTTTCTGAGCCTTAGATTCCTTATTTGTAAAAGGGAATTATGAGTACCTACCTCCCAAGGTCATTCTAGAAACCTAGTGAGCTAACACTCATAAACTGCCTGACACATGGGCTGTGGCGCAGCGGGGAGGCCGCCCCAAATGGCGGTCCCCTCCCCCTGCGATTGTGTGTGTGCGCCTTCATTCCATCACTCTTTCCTGATCTGGGGGAGCTGGGGGAGCGCAGGAGAGACCCACAGACTGCCTTGTATTCTTTTTGGGGAGATGAGGCAATAAACTGTTATGTCACGGAGTGTCCCATGGTGACAAGGACAGGGAAGTGAGTCTAAGGTTCTGAGAGACGCACCCTGGATTGGGGGAGGGTGGGAAACGCTTTCGTCTCTGGTAGGGTCACCTGCGTGCACATGGGGGCAAAAGCCATGCTGAGATCTGGGGAGGGCATTCCATACAGAGACGCATGAGTGCCAAGGGCCTGGCACAACGGCAGCCCAGAGTTTAAGAAAACTTGCAGCAGAAAGCAGAGACCAAGCTTGAATTGAATCTTGACGATGACAACTGAGATTCAGCAAGCAGCTGGGGTGATGGGAGGAGGGTGAAGGGGACAGCAGCCCTGCCCTTCAGCCCGGGGCGGGGCATACAGCCGGCCTGCCTCTTGGCAGGAGTCTGGGCCACTGCTCCCTGGACCTCCGTTTGTGGAGGCCGGCCTCTCCCTGCAGCCTCTACCCCCTTCCTCTTCCCTGTCCTGTCACACTTCCTTCAGGGACAAGCTTCATCGCTGGCTCTACAGCCAAGGGGGGCAGCCTGCTGAGCCTTCCCCGGTCCAGGTTTAGCGTTGGCCTCCAGGCGGGCCGTTTGTGGGGCTCTGCTACCCTCTGCTGGACAGTTCTAGAATTACAGTCACTCAGGGGCCCTCTGTCAGGGAAGGGGAGCTGCTGACGCCCCACACACAGTGCAGGCCCCACGTGGGTGGCAAGCATGGTCTCCAGCGGGCCTCAGGGTGTCCCAACACTGCCCTCCGGTACCAATGACGGGGGCCGAGCCCATCACGTGGCATCTCAGTGACCTCAGCCCACCACAGCCTGGCAAGGGGCTCTCATTAACCGTAACAAGTAGAGAATGCCGGCGGGTTCACACCCAGGTCTGCACATCCCCCAGACCCCCCCTCCCTGTCCTTGCGCCCCCGCCACTCGGGTACCCTGTCCCCACACCCCTCTCCTGATCTGGCTGTTCTCCCTGGCACGTTTCTCACCTGACATCTTGTCCTTGTTTGCTGGTCATGGGTCCACCTCTGCAGCCCAGTTCAGAGGGCAGGGACCTCATCCGGGTGTGCTGTGT